TTTGCATCCAGTACGTACTGTTTCTTCGCGTATCATACAGTGTAGATGAACAATTAACGTTGATGTATCACCTGCATAATAATTCTGCTGTTTCCTTATTATTTAACATTTATTTTTAGTTTTACAGTTTTCCTTGCACCCACGCAATGTTTCCAATTTTGGGAGTCAGATTTCCAAGAAATCTTGCATGTAAATAACATAACTGCTACCGAAAGCAGCCTCCTAGTCTTGACGATGTGTTATAGTGCATTCGAATTTCCCGCCGACAGTTTTATACACTTGAAGCGTATCGAGATTTTTTCATAGGTATCTAATGTACACTAGATAGTGCATCTAATTTTATTCTACAATTCAAAAATTGAAGCCATGCATGATTGCAGACTCAGGATATTGCCATGAAATGAGAAGATTCGTATGTTTTCTATTTCTTAAATATATTTTTAAGTACCAAATACATTTTTAAACTATTCAAATTATGAAAGTTATTCTTGTTTTTAAGCGTTTATTAGCGAGTGGAAAACACCAACATGGCCGCCATCTATTCAAATGGGGGTAACCGCAGGAATATTCTTGGCTTCAATTTTACTAAAAGAGATGTGATATCTAGTCTATATAAGATATCTTCTTTTGCGTGTTTGGTGGCAGTTTGACGTCATATTATGACGTTGCAGTAAGGAATTTACATTGGAGTATTATCATACCCCCAGGTGTTTACGATAGCAAATCGATGACTGCCGAAATAAATACTTTGTTCAGCGATCGGCGAACGACGTACCAAGAATGGCGTTTAAAATATTTCGATCTACAGCTTTGTGGCATGTAAACAAGAGGTCAGGAGCGAAGCAAAGACATTTTTGCCTTGAAGGTTAAGGTGCCATTAAAACAATAATTGGGACAAGAACTGGCTTAGTATTTCTATATATGAAATTGTTATTAAATTCTACATGTCCAATGATTCATTCAAGTATTATTATATATTATTGTTTATACATATCGTATGATGAGGGTGTTGATGGGGTATATCGTTAGTCGTGATTCACTCAAGTTCGGTTACCGTCTGTCGCGATAACAACACAAATTTACCGTGAAGCGTGAGGAAAGAAATACTGTTTATCGTTTCAAAACACTTTTCAAAGATTTTACAATACAAAAATGTTTTACCATTTACTGATTTTCAGCCACAACCCCCAACCATCTAGACCCTCTATTATTATACAGTATTGAGTGGCAAGCTAGTCATGGCAACTGCATGGTCATGGAATGCTGATAAACCTGCAATGCAAATCATTAAAAACCGTAGCACGACCTGTTAAAACGGCTAGCTTCACAGTGCTAACAGAATTATAGTTATACATACAAAAGCTAGAAGTTATAAGCATTGAAGGACTGGTATATTCATATAAAATCGCCCATGTCAAGAAAGTAGAATTAGAATATTTAGCTGACCTTTCACTTTGCGCAAGGGGTTTGGTATTCAAATTGCACTTTTCCTACCTCCTGAACAGGCATGTTGCATGGGGACTGTTCACATGAAGGATGGTGGGATGATTTTGATGTATTGAAATAAGTCAAACGAAAGTTCAAATGCCGGTTAACAGAACTCAAATGTTGTAGAACAGATCTTGTTGTTCAAGAAGATTATTATTGCTGCATGAAATTTTAAAAACATTTCAGTTGACAGGTAACTATTGCCGATCTCTCGAAAATAATGCAGTTTTTTTTGCTTAATAGTGTGCACCATGACTTATTTAAATACTTTGTTACCAGATAAGTACCAGGTGGAAAACGAATTCTAATAATAAATATTAAAGTCCAATAAAATGCTTTTAAAGAGCGATAACCATTAAATTTAAATTTTTTCAATAAAGATTTAGTAACGTTTCGTCTTAACTTAAGACATCTTCAGACTATATTAAAGAAGACGCCCGCTCGGCGTTAACCTCGGGTCGGTGGATAGGGCATCGTCTGGTAAATATGCAAAAATCGTGTAAATCACGATAGTTTAATAGTTCACTAGTATAAATGGTGAATCAGTCAATCAAAGCTCCGTTTTAACATTTTATTGATAATAGTTAAATACAGGAACAATTTAGAGAATTTACTGACGCAATTATTTAACTGTATTTATTCATTATTTGGGATATTTTGTGGACGAGTGAATGATATACATAGCTACTTCACTACTTCATCTTGTATTTAGTAACACTAACAGACAATATTATCAGTCTATTTGTTGATTGCACATAGCAGAACGACAGTCACTTCAGATATTTTTAAAATATATCAAAGTACCGAAAATATAATTAGGTGCATATAACTGATCCATCATTAGTAATAGTTGTACCACAGTCGAAGAATGTAATGAGTGGACAGTTGGCAAAATTGTTGTCTACCAGTTACAGTAAGAACCATCCATAAAATGCTTAGCAGTATCAAACAAGTGAAAGTTGGCCGCGGTATTCCCATGCTATGCATACGAAGTATTGTACATTATATCAACATATACTCGAGAATAGTTATCCAGCTAAACATGTATGTCAAAATTATCACATCTTCTGGTTTTAAATCAACAATTTTGACGGATTTTGTGCAAGGACAGCTTCGGGTTCCGTTTCGCTTTGGCCGATGCTTGAAATTTCCCGGAAGTACACTTATTTACCGGAAGTTGTCGTCTCCTCCGCAGGGTCTTTGACTACGCGCGCGGCTCGACACAAAATGGAAAAAATAGGAGCCGAATTTATGACCTCGGTGTCGTACCGACCCGAGGTTATTACAAGCTGTAAGAGTAATTAAGCATAAATTAAAGCTATCATAGCAATATTAAAATACAAGAGAGTATGAGGTACACAAAACGTAAGGATAAGAAAGGGTAATGAAGGGAAGTGACGAACAAAAATGAAAACATACAAATTGGACGACAACACATACAGACAAAACATAAAAGAGAGAGAGATCAGAATAGGTGAAGAGGAATTGAACTGCCTTGAACGTTGAGAGAGGGTTTCATTTTAGAGATAAGAAAACTTTCATGAATAAGGAGTTCTTGGTCATCTGAACAAGAGGAGAGGATTTCAAAGTCGTCAATAGAAGCAGTGTGGCCTGTGGATGTAAGATGTGAGAAAATGCTGGACTGGGGAGGATTTTTACATGTGTGATACCCAGTTGTTCCAAAACTCGGGTGTGTAGATGCCGCGTGGTTTGACCCAAATACGATGCGGAATCTTAGCTTTGG